GTTTCAAATGGGTTTTTGCAGATTTTACGACCGCTTCCCAGAGTCCGCCCATATGCGGAGATTGTGCGGGTATGAAGTGCCACTGCACTGATTGGTCTGCTAGAAACCGTTCGATGTTCTCACGATCCTTTCTTAGCATGTTGGAAAGGGCTTGTAATTCATTGTTTGCGCCTATAAAGTTCGTGCCATTGTCCGAAAATAAATTGGCACATCGACCGCGTCTGGCTATGAATCGCTTTAACGCACTGAGAAACGCTACAGTCGTCAAGTCGCTGACTAATTCTAAATGCGAGGCTTTGGTAGAAAAACATACAAAAATGCACAAGTAAGCTTTCCCGGTTTTGTTTCGCGACAATTTTATGGGAAATAGTCCCGAGTAGTCTAATCCCGAGTTGAGAAACGCTCGGTGCGGAGTTACCCGTGGTTTCGGAAGGTCTCCCATGAGTTGTGTTTGATCGTGAGGACGAACGCGAAAACACGCGATACATTTTCGGAGTGTGCGTCGAATCGCTTGACGTCCCGATATCGGCCAATATTTACAGCGCAGATGCGCAAGGAGACCTTGAGACCCCATGTGCATCTGTTTTAGATGTGAATCTCGAATGATCAAATCAGTGAGTGGATGCTTGGCAGGCAATATTATGGGATGTCGTTTCGCGTGATCTGCGTCCGCGTGACGAAGCCTACCTCCCACACGTAAGAGTCCCGTTTCGTCTAAGAAAGGATTCAACGGAAGGAGCTTGCTCCTTCTCGATATTTCCCGTTTTGTTTGTAGATCTGCAATTTCCGTAGCAAATTCATTCAGTTGAGCTACTCGCGTGAGTGATACCATTGCTCTGTTTAACTCTTCCACTGATAAGGGGCCGGTACGTCGCTTTGCTTTTGCACACGCGTTGGCCTTGAAACGCAAACAGTATGCTACAGTCCTCTTGAGCTGAAATAGTGATGAGAATCTTGCAAACAAGTTGGTGTCCAGGGGAACGCCGTGATAAGCTACCACTTGTTTCTTGAGCTCAGGTATTTCCGGTATGCTTGACCCGGATTCGATCGGCCAGTCCTGTCGGCCTTGCGTCAGCCAGGGTGGTCCAGTCCACCACAAGAATGAAGTTTTTAGATTTCGTGGAGTTGTGCCTCTGGAAATAATATCAGCTGGGTTGTCCTTGGATCGCACATGTGACCATTGCACGTCTGGTGCTGTGCGCTGTATTGTGGCTATCCTGTTCGCGACAAACGTTTGTAGTTCTCCGGGGTGATGCTTGATCCACGCCAGTGTTATGGTTGAATCACTCCAATATTGAATATGATCGAACTTGATTGCTAGAGCTTGTCGCACAGTTTCTCCAAGCTTGACGAGCAGCAACGCTCCGCATAATTCGAGCCGCGGCAGCGTGATACTCTTGAGGGGTGCGACCCTCGACTTTGCACAGAGTAGTCGCGCGACGATGTCTCCTGCAAAATTAGTGCTTCGTATAAAGATGCAAGCGCCGTAAGCAGTCTCTGAGGCATCGCAGAACCCATGCAGCTCTATCGTTTGCGGTTCTTTGCACATGACGTGTCGTGGGATAGAAATTAATTCCATCTCCTTCATCTGCTCTTGATATTGCCTCCAGGTTGTGTATAAGTCCTGCGGAAGAGATTCGTCCCATCCGATTTTTGATTGCCAAAGTTGCTGAAGTATGATCTTGGCACGAATGATTACAGGACCCATTAGCCCTAATGGGTCGTATAGTTGTGCGATAATGGATAACACCGTACGTTTTGTTGCACGTTGACCTCCCTCTATAGCGCGCGTCCGGTACTGTAGATAATCGTCAGTGGTGTTCCAACCAATTCCTAGCGTCTTGATTTCGTCACATCTTGGTAACGCTTGGACGTCTGACGATGCGTCAAGGATCGTAGGCTCGTTCGTGTTCCACTTGTGAAGGCAGAATCCCGCGGATTGTAAAATCTCGGTTAATTCATCCTTGAGTCGACGTAACGTGTTTATGTCATCGCCACCGGACAGCAAATCATCAACGTAGAAGTCATCACGAATGATTCTGCTCGCTTCAGGATATCGGTCTTGGTTTTCGATTGAGACCTGATATAGGCATCGAATGGCCAGGAATGGTGCGCTGGATAGGCCATATGTAAGGGTATTGAGACGGTATTCCTGGATGGGCTCGCCTGGCTCTTGTCTCCATAGAATTCTCTGCAGGTCATGCTGATCTTCTTGCACCAGTACTTGTCGGTACATCTGTTTAATGTCCGCTGTGATTGCAAATTGATGTCGACGGAATCTCAAAATTATGGAGAGTAGATCTCGCTGAATGGTAGGTCCAATGCGTAGTATATTGTTGAGTGACACTCCTGAAGATGTAGGACACGACGCGTCAAATACAACCCTGAGTTTCGTGGTTGAACTATCGGGTTTTAAGACTGCCTGATGTGGCAGGTATGTGATTATCCCAGACTCTTCCTGATTCGGGACTTCGGTCATGTGTTTCGATACTTCGTATTCTTGCATGAAGAGCGTGTATTGTTGCTTTAATTCTGGGGATTTCGCAAATTTCCATTCCATGCATCGTAGCCGTTTGGTGGCTATTTCTCGCGAGTCTCCCAGTCGATTCACGCTGTCGCATAATGGCAATCGAACTTTGAAACGTCCTTCCGCGTCGCGTTTATGCGTCAGAGTAAACTCCTCTTCGCAAATTTTGTCGCTCTCTGATAATTCCGAAGGACGGTTGCCTTCTTCTATTTGCCAGAAGCGCTCTAATTGGGTTTCGATAGCAATGGTACTGGAGACGATAGAGACAGATGCGACTGAACTTTCCGGCGCCCTTTCGAGGCCTAAAGGTCCGGCGATGATCCAACCTAATTTCGTTTTCTGCGCGATAGGTTGATTTTTTCCCAATTTGATCTGGCCGACGCATAGTAGCTCCCAGAATATGGCGCTTCCTAGTAATACGTCTATCTTCCCCGGCGTGTGAAACGATGGATCGGCTAGAATGATCGTCTCTGGTATCTGTAAATGCTTCTTGTTGATCTCCGACAGGGGGAGATTGACTGTGATTTCGGGTAATATCGAGAAAGTGAGCTTAGATTTGAAAGCGTTAAACTTGGATCGTATCGTAGCGTGAGTCTCTGTGAATGTTGCTGTCTGAACTTTGTCAATGCCGCGGATCTGCATGTGATTCTTCCTCTGTGTAAGGCCTAATCGTTCGCAAAGTTCTTTTGTCATAAAGTTAGATTGAGATCCGGGATCGAGGAAGGCGCGACATTCTCGAACGCCTCCACTGTTATCTTGTATATTGATAATCGCCGTAGCCAGTAACCCACGATCGCTGAGACGAACGGCATGATGCGCCACGCTTGTTGATGGTGCCTCCGTAGATGTCTGCGATTCGATGGTCGTGGTTCGATTATTACTTCCATGCTCTGTACCTACGCTCGTTGGGATGTGCAGCAACGTGTTGTGTTTCTTGTGACATAGTCGACATGTACTGGAGTTGCATGTTTCGACGCTATGACCGCCCTTAAAACAATTGAAACACAATTTTAAGCGTTTTACTTCTTTACCTCTCGCCTGAGGAGTTAGATTGAGGAAAGTCGCGCAATGATATAATCGATGCTTTCCCTGATTGCATGCTAAACATTCGTCTGGTTTTGCCTCGGCGGTTACTGCCGCGACTGATTTTTTATTCGCGTAATTGGACTTAGGGTCATTACTTTGTAATTTCGCGGATTTTGATTTATCGAGTAGTAACGTCTCTAGCATCACGCACCGATCAGTAGTGAAATCGATGAATTGCTTATATGTCGCGACTTCTCTGGCCGACGCCTTGTTTTCCCATTCGCGTTTTGTGATATTATCAAACTTAGCGGTCATTAAATGGACGAGAATGGTGCCCCATTGTCCCGTGGGCTCGCCAAGCTTCTTTAGAGCACGAACGTGTTTCTCGGTATGATCTAGCAATTGACGCAACCCCGCGGAGGACTCCTTTTGCATTACGGGAAAATCTACCAACGCTTGTATGTGATGATGAACTAAAACGCGTTTGTTCTCGAAAC